AGCTACAACATGATGTTTCTTTGTTGGGCTGGAATTTAACATGATGAATGTGAAGCTTTTTTACCATCCAGAACAAAGTTTGCAAGAAAGGGATATTCATATGCTATAAAGGGAAATCCTTTCTGAAAGAAAAACCCTGTCACAACATAAAGTTGTCAGAAACCCAGAGAGACTCCCATTTTGGCATCTATGACAAAAAAAAATAAAAATAAAAACAAAAACAAAGCAAAAAAAGACAGAGATAAAAGACTTGGCATCAACTTTGGGTCAACGATGCACAGGGTAAAGCAACTGCTGAGCACTACGCAACTACACGTCCCATGGTTCCAGGCGGGGATCCACAGATGGCGTTCCTGGGTTTGTTTTGTTTGGATTTGGGGTGAGGTGGGCGGGGGTGTTTTTCCGTGGAGGAGGCAATATGTCCCTCTATCAGCTCAGAGTAGCTTGTGCCAATTGGCAGGAGACGAGGTGATATTTAAAGATTAGAGAATGGGAAATAATATGAAGAGGGCAAAAGGAGTCACAGAGGACAGGAATGATGGCAAGAAAAGGAAATAAAATGATAGAGAAAAGAGGAATGGAATAGGGTAACTTTGAACTCAAAACTAATTGTGTAAAAACGAAGGATTAAAAAAAAAAGACTGAAAGACCAGTCAGAGGAATTATGCAGACCAATTAAGAAGGAGAAATGAAATGAACAACAAAGAAATTAAATTAGGAAGGAATTAAGAAAGTGATGGTAAAAATATCAGTGAGTCGGGGAAATGCAAATATGAAAAGGACATTTGCCATCATGCTGCCAGAAAGAACATATCTGATAAAAATAGCTCAAATTTGCTCCAAGACAAATTACTTCTGCACTTTTCACACTTTCAGAGACATAGAAGCTGCTTAGTTCTCACTGCAGAACTTAAGACAAGGAAACCTTTGAGAAACAAACACTCGTCCTATAGAACGACTGCTGGGCTGATAACGATAATGAGCGTATGTTGCTGAATAAAGGATATGCACACACAAACACTGAGGAGGTTGGGCCTGTGAAAGGCATGGAAATGTGCTGAGGAAAGGTGTCGGCACAGGAGGAAGAATAAAATGACAGCCTGGCCCAAAGACTGAGGACAGACCCTGTAACACACACAGTATGTCACACACATACATGATACAGGCTTCATCCACGTAACGAACATGTGAAGTACATAAAAAAATATATCTATATATATTTTTTAAGACAATAAATTAAGGAATATTCTCCCTTTACTATTCTTATGTATAAAAATACTGTTTTATACACAAATTTAAAAATATTTGTTTAAAATGTGACTGTTTCAGCTGTTTTTTCTCAAGATTTTCTAATCCTCTTTCATTTATCTCCACAATACTGATTAAACCTATAAAAATATCTGCTTAGAAAACTAAAGGTGCTTTACATAGCTTTTAATAGACAAACTATATTTGCGGATGATCTTACATTAAAAAACAATCTAACTAATAAGTGTATTTTTCTTAAACATTTTTTTCTGATAGCATCAATGGTTAAACATCCACATAATTGAATATGTAGATATGAATTAGGTTGTATAGATAATATTACCTCCTTCTGTGTTTGATAAAGCATTTCTGAATTTGATTTTAGTATTTCGTAATTATTAGGTACAGTTAATCTAAAAAAAAAGTAATGATCAGCAAGCTTATACAACTAATGGACCAACCCTCTTTTTCATCCGTGAAATAAATTAATTTAATCAGGATTAACAAACAAATGTTAGTATAGTCCACTGAGCATTGCATAATGTGTTAGCCTTTGGTGAATTCACAAAGCATTGTATAGTCAGACAATGCAAATCAGCATCACGCCAAAGACTGCTTAGGGTTTATTGGTCCTTTTGCTCTCATTTGTTCTGATCTTGTAAGAATTTTAGTCACATAACTATAATTCAGCCAACATCTGTTATCCTCTCTTTTGTTAAAAACAAATCAATTTCATATGGAAAGATGTTGGAGCTCAAAGTCCCTCTAGTCCTAACATATATTCTCCTATCAGTTATAGGTGCAAACAACCATATTTTAAAATGGCAGATATTTATGTTGCAATTTTCACTCTGACTTATTAGTATCCAATGATACACATGGGGTAAGTTATTCAACATTGTTACGCAGCTTCATTTTAAATATTTCCCCATCAGTTGATATGATGTAAGCTTCAGAACGTCAAACACAGACAAGAAGGAGGCAGATAAAACTCCAATTAAGAGCTTATGTTGAACAACAAAGACACATGGCAATCCTGACCCTGCAGCATAGTTTTATAATTAGCACAGGAAAACTGGCAGTGAATAATAAAGGCACATAAATAATGGGGCTGGTGATTAGTGAGTGAGAACAGGTGAGCTGATTAAAAACATGGAGCAGGTGCTAAAATGTGGAGGCTAGAAAATAGACGAGCAGTGACATCTGGAAACTGTCAAGAATTAAAGAATTTAAATTCTAAACTTACATAAATACATAAAAAAACAATACTAAAATACAAGCATGAACCCATATGACAGCTAAACAATTAAAAGCTTCAGAGTCTGAATGTGACTCCTTTGGTTATGTTGGACAAAAAATATTTAAATCATATTTAAAGTATAACATGCATTTTGAGGTATTAAAATGAATCCAACTTAAAAGATTAAAATACTTCTTAGCTTAACGAGAGATGATGCTGTCCATTGTGACTGTTTAAACATTTATTAGGACACTCTTGATGCCTAATTTTCCACCTGAGCTTAGTATAGAACAGCTTGTCATACAACAACAGAGGTGATGTGTTCTTGTCTCTCTGTTGGATCTGAAAAGCTTCACAGCTCATTGAGTTCCTGTAGTGAAACTGACCCTGCCAATGTGAATGACTCACATCATCAGTCAGCTGTTTAAACAACTCAAGTTAGTGACTGATTCATTCCCCCTCACCTCAGAGGGCGGCTGATGGTGAAGTTACCTCTCGCCTCATACAAGCATTTAACAGACCTGAAAACATCTTTTTAATGAAACAGGCAGATGTTTATTAAATCTGCCCTTCGGTGTCCAGGGCATCTGGCAGCATCAAATCATTAAATCAGGAGCTTCTAATTCATACTTAGGAGAAACACAATAACATCTCTCTGTGCATGTATTTCATACATATGAGGAACTAATATTTGGCTTGGATGTTTTTAATATTTTGGTTGCAATGAAAACTGGACTGAAGTATTTCCTGCTCTTCATTTTTTATTCCAGCATAAAGCAAACCTCTGGCTTTGACCCCACTGGATACTGCTCCTCCTATGCAGCCCATGTATGTCAGTGAGTTACTTTTTCTTTTTTCTCTTGTGCATTAGTGTGATAAATATTGTGTGTCCAATCTCTGTATTCAACTGAAGAAAGAAACTTTAGTAAATTTAGAGAACAAAGAGGCAAAGGTTCTGAAGTATGTATGATTTGATGACATCTAGTAGTGAAGCCAGCAAAAAATAGGATTTTGCACCAATCAAACAAGTTGTGTTAAATGAAGAATGCAAGGAGAATCACACGTTAGTGGATGGTAAAAAGAGTTGGACAGCTTGTGGATGATGATCTTAACTGGACCCCTAAATACATTCTCCTTTTCTTTAACAGTAGGTCAGTTCTGCCCTTCAGCAAAGCTTTTTTACTTGCAAATAAACTGAAATGTACCTGGTTGTTGGGAAGAGGAGGATCTCAGTAGAGAATGGTGATATTGACTGTCAGGAGTTTTTTGTGACATTATTCATAGTGATGATAAAACATGTTAAAAAAAACTATAAATATGCAAATTTTTTGAAAATAAATTGTCACTTCATAAAGTCATAATCTCACAAACATAAGTACTGCTCTAAAAACCAAACTTGTCTAATATCAAAAAGACAACTTAGACTGTGCTGCTCTTTCCAGTGGAGTTTTGTGTCTCGCTTCCAGTTGGTAGTGATGGTTCCTTGATGGAAAAATCTTTTCTATAAGAGATACCTGGACATTACTTCTAATCCAGCTGTCTGAACTGTGACTGAACTCCTGCAGTGTGGACACACACAAACAATGAAGCATCCTGCAATAGCTGTGAGCTATGAAACACTGCTTGCAGCTCAAAACATTTGACTGCCAGATTGTATCCAAGGTAATTTGGAAAATTTTCCATGAGCACCGTGCAATAACCTGACATGAAAACATTGAGACAGAAACCTTTATCAAATCTCGGAGGGGATTCCTCTGCTGTATTTACTCATTTGTTTCAAATCTCAGATCTAATTGTTTGTCTCTTATTTGTGCACATCTTAATCACTGCTTGGCCATTACAAAAAAAAAGTGAACATTTTCAACTCTCCAATTTCTCCAATATAAAACAAAGAAACCCAATTTGATTCAGCTGAAAACAGAAAAGATTCCCCAAGAAGAACCCAAGAGTTATTCCTCATGTTTTCTGAGCTCGTGATTTCAGCTTTTTACTTCTCAGATGTGTGGCACAATCACACCATCCTCAAACACTTTACCTCATCCCTCCTCCTTCTCCTCACCTCCCTCTGTCTTCTCTCCTCAACGCACCACTGGGAGCGAAGCAGCTTTACTCTGCTGTTCTCCAGACTCTGTTGAGACTGTACAACATAACGCTAAGGCGAGTTGCTTCCAGATGCACTGCACTAATCTCAGCGCAGCACATTCTTCCACTAACGGGCGAGGGACCGCCGGTCGTCAGCAAGGCAGCGCACATCTGTCCTCAACCCAGAAACACTCTTCTCTCATGCAAACGCGCTGCATTGTGAGAGGAAGGTTTTCACAAGAAATGTATGCAGACACACAGTTCCATGCATGGGCATCATTTCTCCCTGAAGATGAAGAAGTCTTAAGCCAGAGCTGCCGATGGGGATAGCTTTGGAAACCAAAAAGTGTGTGTGTGATTTTAAAACAAACATATTTCTGCAATTAAGAGCTGAGCGGAAGTAGAGGCTAGTAAGATAATGAATACTCACCCTGCAGAGCAAAGAGCTGAACAGTGCAGCTGAGATGATGTGCGCGCTGAGAAGCCAAACACCAAATTTGCAGTTTCTCCCCCTCCTATCTCTCCCTTATCCTACAGTATCTGCTGCTCTCGCCACACACCCACTCTGCCTCTGACTCGTGTTTCCCCAAATCTCCCCTCTTTCTCCTCTCTTTTGCTCCTCCTCTCTCACTCCTCTTCCTTCTCCTTTACTTCGCTGCTCTTTCAGCACTGCGGAGAATCGCTTGGATTGGCTTCACTAGTTTGGTTACAGGGAGGTGGGACTGGTGTGTTTCTGTGTGTGTGTTCGCGTGTGTATGTGTGAAGTAAAGGGATGGGGTGGTGGAGGTGGGGTTGCAGTGATGTAGGCTAGAGGGAGAAGGAGGTTCACGCACTGAAAAAGCAGCGTGGCACAAGAGCGCGGTGCCTGGAATTGAGGACACATCATGCACTCTGACAGCGTGATGGATTCAGACATGCAGCGGCTATTAACGTTGTTTAACTCATAATGAACACACCAACATTTCTCCCCAATGTGATTGGTAACAGATAAAATAACAGGAAAATGTTTGAAAGGGGACTTAATTCAACTCGAATTAAAGAGCCAAATGGGGAAACATGGACTATGTTTTGTCCCACTGTAGAACATGGTGGTGGCAGTATTTTGCTGAGGGGATGCTTGTCTTCATCAAGGACAAGCTGGTCAGAGTTAGTTGGAATTTAGATGTAGCGAAATCCTAAAAGAAACCTGTCACAAGCTGCCAAGCTAGCAGCACAATGCAATCCTTTAGATCAAACTCTATGTGTGTCTTAGAATGGCCCAGTCAAAGTCCAGAGGCATCCATGTGATTCATGTCAACACTTGAATCACCTGATGTTTAAAACTTGTTTCTGTTTTTACCATTTGACTCTGACATACATAATATGGGCAATATTATACAGGGTTTTTTTTAGCAGCATTATTTATTCATATTTCTATAAGAAACTGTTTATGACAATATACTATCCAAAACAGGTTATGGACGTTATTATCACATCAATTTATTAAGTCAGTACAGTATGAGCTTGCACCAAAATAACAATGCAGATATTTGCAGATGACTTCAAGATGGAATTTATGCACCTGTTCTTGTTTATGTATTTACATTGGGGAAAATCATTATTTGATAGCACTCTGTTTTTTTAATACAAATTTTCTTTCAGTTCTTGGTAGTTTTATTCTAATATAAGACCTAACATCTGAAAATGTGAGAAACACTTTGCTTAACGGTAGAAATGCATTTGCATGTCATTTAGTGGATAAACCTCTGTTGGCCAGCGCAGCTGTGTGACATTTTCTCATGCTGCATTCCAATTACCTCGGAAGTCAGAATTCGGAACTTGGAAGAAGTCAGAACGGAGGGTGATCGGAGTGGCTCCCAGTGGGAAATCTGGTGGCATTTGAGTTGAATTTTCCAATTGGGAATTTGGAATTCCTGAGTTCTGGTTAAAAAAGTAGCACACAGTTACAATAGGTCACCAGTTTGCACACTTGAGAGATTTTGGACCATTATTCTTTATAGAACCTCTTTAAATTCTTAGTGTTTCTTTGCTGTTATTTGCCAACTCAAAGCGTTATCTCCTCTAACAAATCGGAGCTGAACTGAAATTGGGAAGCAAGTTACTCCACTCAATGTTATGACCGGGATTCTTCTTTAGCCACTAGCTAAAGAAGGCACTAGTTATGTTTTCGAAGCTTCTGTCCTGCTGGAAGATCCTTTCACAACTTGTCAGTGTTCTGCCTGGTGAAAGAAGTTTCTTGTGCAGCATTTAAAGGTGCATGACCCTTTTCATTGTCCTCAGTGTAGTGAAATTATCTTTATGCCCCATAAAGAGAACACATCTCGAAAGCATAATGTTTTCAATATTTAATGTCAAAACACTTTTGATTTAATATTGTGTCATGAATCTCTTCATGAGCTTTTCAGGACTTTCTTCGTGGATGTACAGTAAATTGAAGACATAGATTTTTAAGGATTCTTGAAGAAATGTTAGCTACCAATTGAAGTTTATGTAAATTCAGCAGATGTTGGAGCAAACAGTGCAACTGACAAGTTTATCTTAGAGTTCTTTGTGCATTTCTCCCAGTACTGTTGCATGTGACATATGTGTTTATCTGAGCTTGTTCTGCTTCCATAGGCTCCGTCATGGCTGAGTGGCCCCATCAGCTCCTGGCGACCCACAGACTGATACAGTGGGCTGTGACTCATTTTGTGCACAGATTCCTGTTTGTAAATGTCTGGGTACTTTATATGTGAGGACCATAAAGAAATTGCTCCAGCTAGTTAACACAGATAAAGTAAGACAATAACATGCATTGTTTAAAAAGATGCAGCTTTTTTGTCTCACTATCCTACATTAAAGCAGACAGGATAACTTTATCTACTTTTAGGTTAACTAGGATTAACACTTTTATTTCTTTATGTTAAAAACCATACCAAAGAATATAGATCATTATTCCAAGATTTTTTTGTGACTTACTTCAAAGTTAAAAACAAACAAAGCCTTGCACAGTTAAGGCATGGAAGATTCTGACATGTTAATTCACAACCTTTTAAGATTAAACCTTAAAAACATTTCATTCCCACCATGGAAAAAGTTTAAGCAATCAGCCAATGTCTCCGGAAAAGCATTGTGGCCGGCTGCCCACAATTCTGGTTCATTATTGGTTGCAAGTCTTTTTTAGGTAATTTTGCACAGGTATAACCATGGAAATGGGATGACTGGTTTATCCACTGAAGAGATGGAAAAAATGCCCATATTACACAAAGTACAAAAACAGAAATATTTGTGAAGATGCTGGGTAAAACGTTTAATGACGTCAGCGAGTCCTTTGCTGACCTGGGCTGAATGTCCACTCAGAAACAAAGAAGCCGTTAATCCTAACCCTCCTGATAGTTTTAGTATTGTCTCGACAGCATCTTATTTTTTTGATGAGCTCTGATGAAACTAAAATGAAAGTGTTTGACAAAAGAAGGGGGTTGAGGGTGTAGATATCTTTCAGAAAGTGCAGAGGTGGCAGCATCATGTGGTGTTGGTGTTTGCTGCAGAATAGCAAGAGGACTTCAGCAAATAGATGGCATCACAGCAAAAGAAAACAATTATAATTCACGGTTCGAGTTATGTTCAAGCTGTGTTGTCCCACCACCATTCAGTTTACCTGTGCTTTGCCTGATTGGCTGCCTGCTTCACCTGAGTCTCACTCTACTTAAGTGCCTCACAGTCTCTGTCTCTTTACCAGACCACCTCATGCTACTGGTGATTCAACATAACCTTCCAAAGCTTCTGGAGGTTTGATAGGATCCCCTTATGCTCACATATTTCTCCTCTCCACCAAGCCCTTGATGGATCTCTCCTGCTCTTCCGATAACTGGACCACGGCTCACGCTCTGCATCACGACCTCCGAGTCTCACCTTCGCCTATCTGTCTGTCTTCTTGTCTGCATGATTATTGGCTACTTCCTTAAGATTCTGGATGCTGGATCTGTATGTAGTACCCTTTTTAGTTTATTAAAACAAAGTGCAACTTTGACTTAAAATATCCAATGTTTATGATTTTACAGTGCCACTTAAACAAAACACAAAAATACAGAAGTAGGATTTTTGTAACATCAAACCAGTATGGCACGAACTGCAGATGAGAAAAGATATGCATCATCTAAAGAGTTTGGATCTGTTTGAGTTTGCAGCTGTTTGTCATCGGGGGGTCAAATGTAACAACTCAGCAGCAATCTGGCAAGTGTTGTGTGTCCTCTGTGGGATACAAGCTCACCGGTAATCCCATCCTACATACATGTCAAAGTTTGCCTTTGGCCTACATCTTTATCCATTCAAATCAATAAGTGTAATGGAAAGTACAGCTGTAAAATGGGTCACAACCACCTTAGGTGGGCTCTCGCTGTATCTCTCATCTCTACAGGTTAAGTCAGCTTCACTAAGTATCATTGCAGGGAAAATCTATAAAGCTTTCCTCAGAAACTCTCAGCAAGATGTTAGGGAACATTCCATACAAATTATTTTAGGCACTGAAACTGAATGTTGTTATAGTTGTTTGCACATTGTAACAGATTAAAAGTTTTTGATCAAACAGTGTTGATGCATATATCTGTGTCACACATCCTTGGCCGATCACCATTAAATATTTTTTGATAACAGATGGCTGTTCAGGCTGGGGTAGACTGGGAAATCATAAATATTAGAATATAGACGACTTTTCAAATGAAATTTAAAGCCAAGAATTAGGAACCCTCCTGCCATTTATGGTGTAATGTGTGACTCATAATCACAAACATAGTAATAGCGAGGGAGCACATGGCCTAGTTAATGGGTTATTCCCGAGTCAGGCCAACTGGTCCTGAGTCAAAATGCCTTCTGCTGCTACTGCAGAGATCAGGGGACACAAAACATCTGCAAGTGCAGCCATCGTTCTTTCATTTACTTTTGTTTCTCGCCATCTGCTTAAAATCCGAAGCAACAACCGTCCTCTGTTTCCAGAGGGCTCTCTCTCTCTCTCTCTCTCTCTCTCTCTCTCTCTCTCTCTCTCTCTCTCTTTGGCTTTCATCTTTTTACCAATTATGATTGTCACTGTCAAGCAAAGAACCAGAAGATGGAGGGAAGAGAAAGGAGAGGCAATCAAGAGGGGACACTGGCCAGGCAGAACAATAAAACTGAGAGGAAAATGGGTGCCAAGATGGAAGCTGAATCATCCTTAAATCATGTTCTTACCTTTGTCAGAACAGACGGCATGGGCTGCCATTTGTCCCTCCATCTATCGACTATATGGCTGTGGGTAGCAGTGAGTGGACAGACATGTCCATGCACAAGATTGTGAATGTTGTTCAAAAGGACAAACTTTTGTAGTTTAAAATATTAGCAATTAATCATTATCCATTTATTTACGTGCAACAGCAAGCATTTTTTTAGATATGGAAATTCAGGGTAGTCAGCATAAAATTACTGGAAAAAAGTTAGATAAATTCTGTACTTGAGTTTGATTCAAGTCTAAGTCATTGGACTTGAGTCCACACTTGAGGAAATTGCAATCTTTAGCCTGACAAGCATGCTGTAACACTGTGGGAAGGAAACCAGAGTCCATCTCATGCACCAGGAAAGCGTGTTAGATCCACACAGAAAGAGCATGAAATTGAATTCTGGATGTTTTTGGTGTGAAGTAACAGAGTTAAAACCACTGTCTGCCATGCTGAACCTGGGATTTGGATTTGACATATTTTTGATCAAATCCCCAGTTCCTCTGAGCAGAGAGTCTGGTTAAAAACTAT